AAGGACCAACAAATGAAGGTTTGAGTTTCTTGTTCCCACCAAGGTTGTTAAAATTTACAGTGGACAGAAGTACTTTATCTCCAATCTTAAATTCAGGTTCTTTATGACTCTTATCCCATCTATTCTTATTATACTCTACAGCATCCTCAACACATTTCTTGGCATGTAAATTTGTGGAATCTAACATTTTCTTGAAGTCCAGTGCTGTAGGGTGTACATGAGGTAATTTGTCATTGATGGTATCTTTGGGCATGCGTGGGATCCATCCTCTTTCAAGTATATAAGGAGCTTCTTTGGTAGAGGAGTGTATGCTACTATTATAAGCTATTTCCAAGGCAGGTAGTAGGCTTACCCAGTCATGAGTATATCCATCATGATTTTTGAACTCAAATCCAAATGAACAGAATCTTCTGAGCATGTCTTCTAGGGTTTGTATCATTCTTTCCGCCAAGCCATCAGTCTGAGGATGATAAGCAGTGGAGAAAGCTAATTTGGTTCCTAACATATCATGTAAGTTTCTCCAGAATTCAGATGTGAATTTGGGGTCTCTGTCACTAATGATTATTTTGGGAATGCCCACGTCAGCCATTAGCCTGTTCCAGAATAACATAGCTACTTCCATTGCTGTGTCATCTTTATGATTAGGGATAAATTTTGCCCTCTTGGAAAATCTATCAACTATGACTAGTACTGAGTTGTAGGAGTAGGATCCTCCTGGGGGTAATCCGGTAACAAAGTCCATGTTAATGATTTCCCATTTGTCTGTGGGTTCAGCAATTTTCTGAAGTAGCCCAAATCTCTTGCCTGTCTGTTTGTTTGCTTTCTGACAGGTGTCACATGACTTAATGTACTCATGTACTTGTGTTTTCCAGTCAATCCACCAGGCGGTTTGTTTAACTCTTTCTACTGTTCTTTCTTCTGAAAAATGGCCACAATTCACATTATCATGACATTCCTGTAGGATATTTTTTATTTGTCCTTCATCACATAAGACAAGTACACTTGAGTGTTTGTGCCTGTAATACAATAAACCATCAAATAGCATGAATTTGCCTAATTTATAATGTTTGGACAGAACAGTTGGTAAACTAGCTGCTAGTTCTGGGGGACTACTGTCATTTCTCAATATTTCTACTAATTTGAGTAATTCACTATTTTGGTCATAACTTCTCTGAACTAATTCATAAAAAGCATTTTCCATGTCACATACGTGAATCCCCAAAATAGGAAATATATCTTCATCCTCAGGATCATATGCTGGGTTATCAGGGGTATTAGGGAGTGCCCATCTGCTTAATCCATCAGCATTCTTGTGTTTTTTGCCAGCTTTATGGATTATGGTCATATGCCCTCTATACTTCTGAATAGCAATCTGCCATCTTAACATGTGCCTGTTGGGAGTTTTCATATTCATTAAAGTTTTAACTGCGGTACAATCAGTGATAACTACAAAGTTAGAACCTTCTAAGTAGTAATGTAATTTGTCCAGAGCCCATACTAAAGCTAAGCATTCCATTTGGCTAGCTCCATATTTCCTCTCAGATTCTTTAATTTGTCTGGATATGAAAAGAACTGGTTTTTCCATAGGTTTGTCATCTACAATAAATTCTTGATGAAGAGCAGCTCCAAGCCCATCTAAACAAGCGTCAATATACAGTATGAATGGTTTGTCATAATCTGGTTGGGCTAGGACTGGTGCAGAAGTGAGTAATCTTTTTAATTCTTCATAATTTTTGACTCTTTCCCAGGTCATCTCATAAATGGTGTCATCTTTACACAGTGCGTATAGATTCTTGCTTACTATGGCAAATTGAGGGATATGTTGCCTGTAGTAACTACAAAAGCCTAAGAATGACATCATTTCTTTCAAGTTATGAGGAAGAGTTTTGTTCATTACTGCAGCTACTTTGTTTTGATCTACAGCTAAAGTTAGGCCAGATACTATCCTACCCAGAGCTTTAAGTTCTCCGTAGCCAAAGTTACACTTTTTAATGGACATCTTCAAGCCAGTTTTGATGGCGGTACTAAGCACTAGGTTGATTTTCTCCAAGTGGGTTTCCCAATCATTTGAATATATAATAATATCATCTATGTAAACCATCATCCAGTCTTGTCTGATGAAAGCACCAAAAATTGAGTCCATCATTCTTTGGAAATGGGAAGGGGCATTTTTAATCCCAAAGGGCATTCTCAAATATTCATATATCCCCAAGTGACAAATTATTCTCAAAAATTGTCTGCTATCTGGGTCAATGGGTATCTGATGGAAACCTTTAAGAACATCCATAGTGGTGATGTATTTAGCTTTGGATAAATTATGCAAGGAGTGATCAATACGTGGAATGGGGTAATAATCAGGTCTAGTGTAATTATTCAGAGCTCTGAAATCTCCAACCATTCTTGACTTCTCATTATGCCAAGCAATAATTACTGGGGTAGTAATTTCTACTTGCTCATTATGTCCAACTTTCCTCAGCACACCTAATTCCATTAACTCTTTAATGTGAGTTTCTAAAGCTTCTCTGGATTTAGGACTGGAAGGATAAGGGGGTCTTCTCAAGATAGGAGGATAAGGTTCTTTAACAGTTAATTCCAATTTCATGTCATTACCTTTTATGTTACCAATAGGTTCCTCAGTAGTACAAAAGGATACTTTATTTATGAAGCAAGTTTTAAGTACGTCTAATTTCTGTTGCTCATCTAAAACATCACTAACAGCTGCTTGAGAAAGATATTCAGCTTTGAAGGACATCATTTCTTCCGTCATTTCATCTGGTACATCAGGGAGTTTGATATTCACATTGCAAATTTGGAATTTCCTTTTCCAATCTCCACCAATAGTGTAGAATCTGTTCTTACTTTGAAATATGTCAATTCCATACATGCAAAAAGTGTCATTTCCTAGAATTAAATAGTCACAAATAGCATCTTGAAGAACCACGAATTCTATGGACAATCTTAGAGAACCTTTGGAATGAGGGAAAATTAAAGGCATTACCACAATTCCTAAAGGTTTCATTGAGGAATTGCAGCTACTAAATTTAGCTTTAGGGACAGGCAGCAGATTGTTTTTCCACTCCGGATGAATTTAATCTAAGAAGCTGCTACTAGTACATGAGCAAAAAGCTCCAATATCCAATAAGGCTTTTATTGATTTTTCCTCAAATAAAACAGATGTGTAACTAGTTTTTCCTAAAGTGTAACTCATCCCTTTTTCTGGTTTATTAGTAAGCAATTTAGCATCAGAAACATGACCAATTTTCATGGAAGAATCCCATTTCTGCGGGAAATGGATTGTATTGATATGTAATTCATCACCAATATCAGCTTGGATTACCACAATTCTATGAGATTCCTCTTCTCCTGGTTCAGTGGTTATGACATCAAATTGAGATCCAGAATCATATTCACTGTCAGTCTCTTCATACACTTCCACATTATTGATCTTTTTGCGGGGATTAGGGCACTCAGGTCTTTTGTGGCCCTTTTCTCCACAGTTATAACACTCAGGTATACTAGCTTTTCTTACGGGGGCTTCAGCTGTGGGAGCTTTTTCTTTGACATTGTCTGGCTTGATGAGTTCTCTTTTTTCAGGTATATTACTTCTGACATATTTTTTATTCAAGCCATTCATAATCACAACCTCCTCTAATACTCCTACAAACTCTGTTAGATCAACATCCATATCTTTTAGCCTACATCTGACTAGGTGTTCTATGGTTCCTTTGCATTGAGTTAATAACCTGTCATTTATTTCTTCTGCTGTGGGATTATTGTAGATGCATTCAATCCTTTTCTTTTGGAGTAAGCACCATTCCCCAACAGAATGCTTAACTGGGTCAAAATAGTCACTTTCAAAGGCTATTCTTTTAGCAGTTTTCCACACTCTGGTGCTAAATCTGGCAATAATTAATTCCTTCCAAGTAGCCCAAATTTGTAATCCTATGGATTGGCTTTTGGTAAGAAACCAATCTCCTGCTATTCCTTTCATTATCCTAGGGAGCTTGGAGGTAATCATATCATCTGGGGCCATGTAAGTTCTTAACAAATAATCTATATATTTAATGAAACTAATGTGATCATATTCATCTTTACCATCAAATTCAGGCCAGTCTTTGATAGGAGGCATGTATTTGTGTAGATTGTTCATTCAGCCGCCGTATAAGGAGTGGAATTTCTTATGAAATCTGCTTCCTCTTCTGATTTTCTCTGCATTCTTGGGTCAGAAGTGTGCGGAATAGGGGAACATTTTTTTACGGGTTGAGTGCTCGATTGCATAAAAGGATTGTTGTACTTTGGTTCTTCGGAGATCACGAAACCACTTCTGTTCTGTTTGTCATCATTATTCTGATGAGGGGGAACATCCCTACTTGTTCGGCGATGAGAGAGTATAGGATCTTCCTCCTCTTTTTTAGATGGGCAATTATCTAAATTTTTATCAGATTGATTCTGAGAATCGGCCTGGTATTGTTTCATCGCGGAAAGTTCTTCTTTAATTGAATAGAACCGGTCTTCAATTAATTTACTCAAGAGATCTATTTTATTATCTGTATCTGAACTCTTTTGTATCAACAAGTTTTTTAACTCGCTTGTTTTTCTCTCAAATTTAGCGTTCTCAACAATAGCATCTTGCCTGATAGAAGAGAGAATGTAATCGGCGTTGGCAGTACTCTGCGCCGCTGAGTTTCTAGCGAACTGAACTATCTCATTATTTACTTCTTTATTGTCTTTAGAAATATCTCGGAGATATTCTACATCCTTCTGGATGATAGTCATCTGCTCGCTGTTTCTAGGCGTCAACTCAATAGGTAGTGGTTTATTCAGCTGCTGTATTATCTTAAAGCAAACATTCTCTGTGTTCTCTTTCATTTTACTAGTAGAAGATTCTAGACTATGTACAAGGCTAGCAAAATTACTCTCGCTATTCGAGTCTAAAGTGGAAATATTAAAATTCAATGTTTCCAAAGAATCTAATATGGTAATAGCTACTTTAGGGTCTGTTATACATTCTGGTACAGACCGGACGCCATTTGAAGGAGATCCGTCACCTTCTTCCACTTGGCGGGATCGGAGAAATTTGTCGAGGTGGAACTTTGCTTCTTGCCTGATTCGTTCCGCTTGAATTTCATCAGGTTTTTCTTTGGTGGGGACGGAAAATGTATTTTCTTTTCGTCCCAAGGGTTCCAACCCTTCACGTAGCTCTCGATCTCCTCGTTGTCGATGAGTTTCTGAAGAGCCTTCTGACTCTCCTGAGCGGTAGTCAGTAAGGCTTGTAGCTTTTCTGCCGGTCCTTCTCGAGTAGCTACTTGGCATAGTCTCCAGAGCGAGACGTGCTCTTTGACCCGGAGTTTGATTTGATCTTCCTTTGTTAAGATTCGAATCTCTGGGGTTATGGGGCGTTTCGGGGTAGCTTCCGAGGATTCGGATTCTATCTTGTCCACGTCCATAAGCATATCCTTCTCCGCATTCGGAGGCGGGTCGCTTCTGTTCTTCCCCATAGTTTCTGGGATCAGAGCCGCTGGTTCTTTGCGGGTCAGAGTAGTCATTTGTAGACTCTCCACTCTGGCTTGCAATTCCTTTGCCGCTGCGAGGTCTTGTCGGAGCTGGGAGGGGACCTCGCAATTCTGGATGTTTAGATCTAGTGGATTTAGTCATCGTATCGAGTAGTTTGTAAGTAAAGGAGGTTGTAAGGTTTTTAGGAAAAATGTAGGTTCTTTTTTGGGAAGCTTACTTTCAGTTGTCTGACTAACGGAACCGTTGTCAGTATCCACCGAGGGAGTAGGACTAGCGCGTTCTTGTCTGATGACGCCTGCCTCAAAAGTAGACACTAAACGAGATATAAAAGAAGAGATAAGAATCAGCTTCTTTTAATCGGATAGGGGTAAGGTACCAATGAAAAAAGGAGGATCGTTGGGAATCTGACTTTTTTCAAGATATCTTTTTTGGTGGAGCTGTTTATTTTTAGCTCGAATATCTCTGAGGAAGGTCCGGAACCGTAATTGTTCTTCTAGATCTTCTTCTTGATGAACGTGAGCGTGGTAGGTAGCGAGGAGAAGCTGTTCCTCTTCGGATAGTCTTTCCCAAGGAGTAGGAATATAGTTACGATCTGTTTCTTCTCGTCGCAACCTAAGGATAACAAGGTAACGCTGGATTAATTCGGCGTTCTCTTGCAAATTCACTGGAGATTTGAGAAAGGAGTATTGAAAAACCGGAATTAATTTTTATAAGTTTTTAGAGTAAGAATGATAAAGGATTCGAGAGATGTATATTTTTATGGGTTTGGTTTTTCTTTGTGATAATAGAAAAATTGAATATGTTTTTTATTAATTTTATTTTCTGATGAAGTAATGAGAAAGGTGACCGTAAAAAAAATGATAAATTTTTATGGGTTTTGATTAATTTTTGTGAGAAAAAAATTAAGAATAAATTCCAGGTGGTTTTTATTAAAAAGGTAATTTTAATAAAATTTTCCCGGCCAGACCCCCAATTGTCAGCCTATGTGATGCCAAGACAAGTGTCCTCTAGCTACGCAAGGTGCAAAAACTAAGAGTTTTCATGGTAAAAACTCAGGGACAAAACTGGTATAATTAATTCAGAAGAATTACGTGAAAATTATGGATTAAATCCAAAAAGTGGCCAATTTATATTAATAAAATTAATATAAATAAAACCAGAGGGGCCTGATAAATCAGGGGTGGTTTAATCCCTCTAAGGTATCGTGCAAAAGGCAGAGGATTTAGGTACCTGGAACACTGGGGCCTGTGAACAGGTGTGGTTTAAATCCCAGGAAGAATTTAAGGGGAAAATCTCAAGAAAAGGGTTATTACTTACTAGTAATAATCCTATGGGGTCTTGAGGATCTTCAAAGTAGAAACTGGACAGTTGGGAGCGCTCAGAAAGGTTGATTTTGGGTGCTGGGGGATAACTGTTGAGTTTCTTGAGGAATTTTGAGGCTTTAATAACAGCAATAATAGTAGTAACTAGGCTAATTACAAGTGTAGGGGACTTGTAAATGGTAAGTATGTTTCTATATAGTATTGTAAAGCTGGGGGATCATTATTTGGGCGGTCAGAAGGCCCTTTAAATACCTGTGGAAGGCCTCAGGGGTTGCTCAGGGAAGCCTAGTAGGACTTGGGAGCGCTTTTTGGCCCATTTTAGCCCACTTAGTGACGCAACAAGGGCTGAAACCTTGGGGATAATATTCTAGAAGCTCCAAGGGGTCATGCACGAATTTATTTGAACCAAGAATATACCTTGGGAACCTGTGGGCAAGGGCTAGTCTGCTACGTGGTGTCATTTCCAAGGAAATGGGCCGCAGAATATGCCAGAACTGGTTTCTGGGGCTTGTTACACGTGCTACAAACTGGAAGATGGAATATTCAGAGTTACTGTAGTGTATTCATGAATATTCTAGCTTGTTTATATTTTTATTACACGTGTGGGGGCTTTGTTGACACGTGCACAGCGAGTTTCTGGGGCTTTGTGGCCCATTTCCTTGGATACTGGTAACCCAGAGGAGGTTATGCATGTATCCAAGGCGGGTATGCGTACCTAGCATGCGGGGGGGCTTAAGCCTAGGGCTCAATTGTAGTCAGGCGCGCCTGTCAACAGTGAGCAGCATGGCTACGCGGCACGCGGGCTTGGAGATAGTACACGCCACGCTGGTCTATCTTCTAAACTATACACAACACTCCAAATCTGAGACAAGATTTGGATTATATGCATATTGTTATGTACAATGCATAATTATTCAGGTGCCCATGATCCATGGGTACCTGCTAATTCTTTAAGTGAGTATTACAGGATGAAGGGGTTACAATTAGGGGTACCTTTGGCTGAGGTACCCTAGGTTAAATTGTACGTAGATTCAGAATTTGTAATAATAATTAAGGTTTTCTTTATTCTTTCTAAGTTATTTATATATTTTAAGTGTTTTTATTATTGTTTACATAAGTAAATTAGTTTGTTTTACTTATGTAATATTTTTACTTTATTCTTAGATTTTTTATGTGATTTTATTTTTATTTTGCTATGACAGGTTGTCTCTGCCATAGTAGCAAGCTGACATGTTGTAACTAGAGTTATCAGTCTACCACTTTGTCTCTTTTCTCTTTTCTTTACTGTGGTTCACTGGCACTTCACAGTTTTGCTTTATTTTTCTCTTCATATTGTCGTCTGGTCTGGCACAAAGTCCCGGACGCGACTCAAAAGAAGCTTGATCCAAGGGCTCATGCAGCCATTTTTCTATCGTATCTCAATGACGGTAATGGGTACCGAGTTTGGGATCTTCAGACAAGGAAGGCAATCAAGACTCGGGATACACTCTTCAATGATGGAACTTTTCCCTACAATCATCAAATCACCGGTCCAGCTCCAACAATCATTGTTGATCTCCCCTGGCCACTCTCTTCCTTGATCCCCACTCCACCCGCTGCTTTACCACCAGCCGGCATACCTGCTGCACTAGGGGTCCCCCGGTCATCCGTGCAAACCCCTGTCGCCATACCATCACGTCTGGTTCTACCTCAATCTTTCACACAACATCGGGATCCGACACCACCCATCCCCATCTCTCCAACTACCAGTGACTCCAATGATGGTGGTGAGCCGTCTGGTCTTCCTTCGCCGATCCCGCTCCCTTCCCCTTTTCTGCGTCCCCCAGCTTTGTCCTTCATGGACAACATCACTTCTCTCACTCTCCCTGGTCCAACACCTCCAACGGCTCTTCCGCCTGCTAACATCCCTCAACCTCAAGTTGTCCCGTCTCCAGCGTCCATCCCCCTCCCCATCTCGCGACCTCCCACTCCGCCAGTACGCGTTCCTACTCCACCGCGTGCTCCCACACGTCCTCCTTCTCCACCAATCAGGCTTTCTGGATGCGTCATAGAAAGGCTCCAGAACGCTATGGAAATTGGGCAAAGTCTTCCACTGTTCCTCTTGATGATATTGACACCCCTAAAACTTGGCATCAACTCCAGAAATCTCCGCACAAGGCAAAATGGCTCCAAGCGGCGGATGAGGAGTTCTCTTCTCTTCTCGGTATGGACACATGGAAACTGGTCCCCCGTAGAGCTGGCCCCGGCGCATCCGGATATCCGTTTGGATTCAGATATCCGCTCACGTTTTCAGCAAAATCAGACATCCGCATCCACTGGCGGGTATCCGCGGATATCCGCCCCTTAAATGACCCCTAGGGTGCAAAATGAATGCTCCTTGGGGAAATTTCAGATTTTGGGAGCTGCATAAACAGCAATTTTGAAGTCCTTGCAGCCTGCAAGCCTTCAATTTTTTTTTTTTTCTTTTTTCTTTTTTTAATTAATTTTTTACCACTTATTTTTCAAAACAAGCTGTAAGAAATTAATTGAAAAAATATGTTTGATTGGAATTTTCAAAGTGATCCTTTGATTTTTAAAGAAATTGAATATTACCTCAAAGTTCTATGCATTTTAAAAACTAGGGAATAAATTCAAAATTTCAAAAAAACATGAAAAAGAAGTGGTAAAAAATTGATTAAAAAACACACCCAAACGCGGAATCGGCGTGTGCTGGGCACAGGAAAAACTGGGTTTTTATTAAGGCCCTTATTTTATTTTATATTTGATTTTTTCTTTTGTTTTTTCTTTGCTTTTTCTTTTTTTCCCTCCTATATGGGCGGATATCCGCTGGGATACCTGGATATCCGCCAGGATTTCAGGGGAAAGGGGACATCTGCATCCGCAGCCGCATCCGCTGGCGGGTATTCGTCGGCACTGGCGGATATCCGCCAGCGGATAGCGGATATCCGCAACAGATATCCAGAGACCAGCTCTAGTCCCCCAGCCGTCGAAGCATAAGATTATCAAGTCAAAGTGGGTCTTCAAAGTGAAACGTCGCCCTGACAAGTCTATCCTAAAGTTGAAAGCTCGGCTGGTTGCTATGGGGTACTCACAAGTACGTGGTGTGGATTATCAAGAGGTTTTTGCTCCCACTCTACATCTTGAAACACTCAGGCTTATCTGCAGTCTCCTGGCATCAAAGTCTTGGAAGGGTAGACAGGTGGACTTCAAAACTGCCTTCCTCAACGTTCACCTCGACCAACCTATCTTCATGGAGCAGCCTCCCGGTTTTGAGGATCCAAATCATCCTGATTTTGTCTGTGAAGTCCACAGGTCAATCTACGGTCTAAAACAGGCCCCTCGCCAATGGAATCGGGAACTTCATCAAGCACTTCTCAACTCTGGTCTCACTCAGTCCAAATACGATTCTACCCTGTACTTCAAGGTTCACAATGGAAAACTGCTGGGGGCTATAACTGTCCACGTCGATGATCTAGCCGTTGTTGGGGAAGACTCCTTTGTCGACTCTATCATCTCCAGCCTTGGCGCCCAGTTCAAGATTGGAGCAGATGAAGATCTTCATCACTTTCTCTCTATCAAAATCACCCGTGACCGTCAAAACAAGCTCCTTTATATGTCTCAAGGTCATTATGTCGATGACATGGTTTCTCGGTTCCTCGATGGTACCCACACGCCTACTAAGACACCTACCTCCTCTCTCTTCAAGGATCTCGTCAGAAGGACCACCGATGAAGACCCTTCACCTGGTCCCTATGGACAGCTCATTGGTTCTCTTCTATGGATTGCTCAATGTACACGCCCGGATGTCTCCTTTGCCGTCAACAAACTGTCACAGTTCCTTCGTGATCCCTCTTCTTCTCACTGGTCTGCAGCAGTTAAGATCCTCAACTACTTAGCCTCCACCAAATCTCTCCGCCTACGCCTGGGTGGTTCTCTGACTTGTGCAGGCTACTCCGATGCAGACTGGGCCAAGGATCATCAAGACCGTTGTTCCACTTCAGCCTACACCTACAGATTTGGCAACGGGGCTATTTCCTGGAAATCTCGCAAACAGGCAACCGTCTCCTTGTCCAGCACTGAAGCTGAATACAAAGCTCTGGCAGATTCTTGCAAGGAAGGGCTTTGGCTGCGTAACATACTCACAGAATTATCTATTCGACCCAGATCAGCCCTCCCACTTCATGTTGACAATGAAGGGGCGGAAGCTCTAGCCAACAACCCAGAGCATCACGCCAGAACTAAGCATATCAATGCAAGATATCACTTTGTACGCAACTGTGTCAAGGACAACATTTTCGAGATCGTCCACGTTTCTACACATGACATGCTTGCCGATATGCTCACCAAACCTCTTCCTCACATCCTACTGGAGAAACACCGTCTCATGTTTGGTCTTGTCTATTTTTTTTTGTGTGCTTTCCTTTTTGTCTTCTCTCTTCTTCACCGAATTCAGTCATCAGCAAGGGGGGGGTGTTGAGATACCGTGACATGTCATTGACTGCTACATGTTCACCGTAGTCATTGTGCTTCTTTCTTCTTTCTTCTTTCATTTCTCTCATGTCACACTCTGTGACATTCAGTTGTTTTTGTTTCAGTTCATATACTGGATTCATGTGTGCCTGGGAGGATTTCCTTTTCCTCATCCTTTCCAACACACATGTCTCCAGGTATGGTCCTTTCCTTTTCTTTCTCTTTTCTCTTGTTATGTTGAAATGAACTCTTATCCTTTCCAACACACATGTCTCCAGGGTGTTCATCTCAACACAGGCTAGAGAGACACTTATATGCAATAGGCCTACTAAATCAAGCGGCAAAAATCCAATGCAAAGCCTGCAATGGATGCAACAGGATTACAACGGGGGTTTTTTTTTCTGTGGATTCTCAAACCTACTCTGTGGGCATTAATCATACCTACACAGTTCTTGGATTCAAAGATCCAAAAAAAAGGAGCTCAAAAGTGGCACACAAAGAGTGCAGTTATGGTGTTGCAAGCGGGTCTGGGCACAGGCCCCAGTCCCGCGTGTCCTCGCGCCACCGGGGCCTGGGCCAGCGCCCAGGGGGCTTGATTTGGCAGGTTGCGCGGGGGTCGGACCTTGGCACTGGCCCAAGTCTGGCTTGGCTGAACCCAAGCTCTGGGCTCACCAGATCACCGACATTGACTACCACCACCACCACACCCGCGACCCACCTAGCTGACCTGAGGTCAGGTTTGGCGCGGGTGGCACCCTCGCTTGGGCTCGGCCAAGCGTGGCTTGGGTCCGACCCCCTCCAAATTGGGGAGGTGCCAAGCGAGGGTTGAATCTGAGCCAAGTTGGGTTTAAAGGGCGCCACACGCGCTTGGGAATCGGCCAAGCCCACTTGGCCCTTTTTTTGCCCAACTTGGGCCTGTGCCCAGACCCGCTTGCAACACCATACATATTTGCGTCTATTGATCATGATGTTTCCTTTCACCGTTTTTCTTTTTTTTTTTTTACTTGAAGACCCCGGTTGATTGTTTTAGCCTGAAAATCCTTTCTGTTTTAGGGAGCAGACCACGCGAGCCTCTCCTTACGGAGAGCGATCCTTGCAGGGGGCCCCCAGACCCTCCATTTGAGTGGCTTTGTTATGCTTGACATCTTCATGACACCCTCCCCCCCCTCACTTTTTTTTATTTTTAAAATGACAAAGAAAAACAGTTGTTTGTTTTATATGAAAAGAAGAAGAGGAAAAGTGAACTGATAATGACTGAGGATTCAATTTGGCAAGTGTGTGTTTTTGACACATACCAGCAGGCCAGATCCACAAACTAACTCACTAACTAACTAACTCACCACAAAAAAAAAAACAACAACTCATGAGTCTACATATTTTTTTTTTTTTAAAAAAAAAAAAGGAAGAAGAAGAAGAAGAAAAAAGAAAACATCAAGACAAGATATAAAAAAGAAGAAAGATAATTATAGGAAGAAAGGGGGGAAAAAAAAGATCAACAAAGCGACCCGAATTCGCCGTCGATACCAGTCGAAGCGAGGTGATTGACGGAGAGCTGAGCCTGGGCGGAGGATTTGGGGCCGTTGGGCCTGCCCTGAGTGGACAACGACTCATGCTGATTGAGATGCTTATGATTACTGTTGTAGGAGTAGTTTGAATGATGAGTGAGAGAAGTAGGAGTGGTGATGATGGAGTGCGGAGTGGCGGTGTCCAGGAGATCCGAATCCGACGGCTTCGGGTCGGTCGTCAGACGCGTATTGATGAGCATCTTGTTCGTATTGAATGGGATCTTGGAACCTATCCACACATGTTCAACCCGTCTCAGCGTACTTACTAACATCAACACAAAGTGGGAGGGATAAGCAGAGGATAAAGACTGAAACGTACTGGGAAAACCAATGATAGAGGACGAAGGAGAAGGAGCAGAAGAGATCGAAGTGAGTAAGTCGCCAGACTTGCGACGCGGCCGATCGCCGACGACGGCATTGCGCAGTCCCCCATACGTCAATCCCCCGTTCCCCCCACCCGCACCGGCAGGATTGGAGAGTCCAGTAGGACCCATCAAGGCTGACGAGGCAGAGAGGCCCGAAAGCACCAGCTCCATCCTGCCATTAAGATCCAACACTGCTCCTTTACCGACTCTTGGATTACTACCATGAGAGGGAGGACCATGATGATGATGATGATGATCGGAAGAGGTTTGGGTGGACGATGCCGTCGAAGGTCTGCCGCTCTCAATTGCTCGCATATTCTCCGTCCGCCCATTCTCATATCGAACGCCAGTAGACGGTCTTCCATTATCCACTCTTCCTGTCGAAGATCGTCCAGAAGGATTAGCTGTTTGAATAGGTTTTCGTCTTCGCGCGGGAGGCACCGGTAATGATTGAAGCTGGACGAGCGACGACTTGTGATGCAGGTCTTTGATGATCGAGTCGGAATGCGTGTGCGCACTGACGGTCAGCGTTCTTAATCTGTTCCCACCCAGCACGTGAGAAGAAGATGGTGGGTTGGTGGAAGTGGATGGAGAGGGAGATGAAGAAGGGTCTCGATGCAGCCAATCTAGGCCGACGGGATTCAGTCCTGAAGATGTGAAAGATTGTTGAGGATCTTTGAAGAAAGAAGAAGAAAGACGAGAGTCGGATTCTTCAGACGACGGATTGAAGTAGTGATAATGATT